ACAAGAGTGTCCCAGAAGAGTGTCCCACAAGAGTGTCCTACAAGAGTGTCATTTGGACATATGTAGCTTTTCGAACGTGTTTGCATTCGGGTTCGTGGGCTCCATCTTTTTCATTTTCAATAGAAAGGGTGGCTCCGAAGCTGGCAAGTCAAGCTTTGCGGAACGACGTGTGCGAGACGGTCTCGGGTCATGGTCGGGTCATGGTCGGATCATGCTGGGAATCGTCCCTCCATTGTGGTTAGAGTTTTCACTTGTTTCTTGAAGCGCAGATTTCGTGGCACGCGCAGCACTTTGTGAACCTCGAGGTGCAGATTTCATGGCAGGCACAGCACTTTGTGAACCTCCATGTGCAGATTTCGTGGCAGGCGCAGCACTTTGTGAACCTCCATGTGCAGAGTTCGTGGCACGCACAGCAAACCTCCATGTGCAGATTTCGTGGCAGGCACATCACTTTGTGAACCTCCATGTGCAGATTTCGTGGCAGGCACAGCACTTTGTGAACCTCCATGTGCAGATTTCATGGCAGGCACAGCACTTTGTGAACCTCCATGCGCAGATTTCGTGGCAGGCGCAGCACTTTGTGAACCTCCATGTGCAGAGTTCGTGGCAGGCACATCACTTTGTGAACCTCCATGTGCAGAGTTCGTGGCAGATTTCATGGCAGGCACAGCACTTTGTGAACCTCCATGTGCAGATTTCGTGGCAGGCGCAGCACTTTGTGAACCTCCATGTGCAGATTTCGTGGCAGGCACAGCGCTTTTTGAACCTCCATGCGCAGATTTCGTGGCAGGCGCAATACAAAGTTCGTTTTCGAAAGATAGCGGACGCACGAAATGCGGCTTTTTTTCAATAGATAGGGTGGCTCCGAAGCTGGCAAGGCAAGCTTTGCGGAACGACGTGTGCGAGACGGTCTCGGGTCATGGTCGGGTCATGGTCGGATCATGCTCGGAATCGTCCCTCCATTGTGGTTAGACTTTTCACTTTTGTTTCTTGAAGTGCAGATTTCGTGGCAGGCACAGCACTTTGTGAACCTCCATGTGCAGATTTCGTGGCAGGCA